TTTGTCCGGTTGAATGACAGGGCGGTGCAATTCTTCCTTGGGGCTTGTTGGTGAGTGTATGGCCTGGTCCATTCTTCCTTCCATTTTTGGTTTTATTGTCCGGTATGGTGGCTGATTTCGTCTTTAGTTTGTTATTCGTTCCTTTTGTTTATTGGTTCTCTGAAGGAAGAATCCAGCACCTGAAAAGAAAGAAAAGAAGAAAGAGAGTATACTGCCTCCTATAGGCGTTTTGGTGTTATCTAATACCGTAATCCAGACTCCTGAACAAGAGGATTAACAGCAATTAAAGCAAAGATTAGGATGACGGAGACATCTGGCGATGTGTATACTGTGGTTCGATGTGTATTTGACATATATATATATAAACGGTCATTATTTCGAATATTTGTCATAAGCTTGTTCTGAAATTGATAAACCCTGGCTTCAAGGTACATACCACTTTTATATGGCCATTTTATGTGCACTCTTTAACATTTTCGAAAGAAAGTGCATATTATGTGATATCACTGTTGGTGTGCCCTTTAAAGGCTTGATACAAGACCTTAAGAAAGACCGTTCGATTACTATCATACCTGCTGACAAAGGGAAATCTACAGTGATCATGAATACTAACGATTACCACTTCACTGTTAACAATCTACTCCAAGATACTTCCACCTACAGGCGAATAAGAAAGAACCCTACCACCAAACTAGAGAAAAAACTAAATAGTAAACTAAAAGAAATAAGAGAAGGAGGGCAGCTCACCAAAAAACAATTTTACCAACTCCGGTGCAGTCATCCACGACCACCATATGCCCGTGCCACTATCAAGACACATAAGAACGCAATAAAATCAAGATTACTAATATGTTCAAGGGACTCTGTTTTCTACAATGTTACCTAGCATCTCAGCAAGCTTCTCTCTCCATCATGTTTTGCGAAAAGATTAGATATATAAGTGACCCAAGCAAAATTGTATCTTATGACGTGGTAGACTTATTCACCAATGTGCCCCGGGATGAAGCTATGGAAGCCCTAAAATCACGAATTAACAAACTTGAAGAACCATTGGATACCAATTTGTCAACAGAGAATATAGTCAATCTAGTCAGTACATGTATGTGCATTAACTCCACCTACTTCACCTGGGGAGACAAAACTTATGAACAGATCCATGGCCTACCGAAGGGAAGCCCTTTATCACCACTCATCTCAGAAATCTATTTAACACAATTCGAAGAACGTACCTTGGAATCATCTCCAATAACACCTATTTGTTAGTTTCGTACGGTCGATGATACCTTCGTCATCCAGGGGAAGAAGATGGCCCAGCAGTTCTTCTTGACCACCTCAACAACTAGCACCCGAGGATTAAGTTCACTATGGAGAGAGAGGTCGACCAATCGCTCCCCTTCCTAGATGTTCATGTCCACAGAAGTAACAATGCTATTAAAACCAGTGTGTACCGTAAACCAACCCATACGGACCCATACATCAACATCAACTTTAACTCCACACATCCAACCAATGTTAAAGTATCTGTAGTTTCCTGTTTAGTCCGCAATATATGTGAACCAGAATATCTCAATGCAGAACTTGAGCACCTCCGACACGCCTTTTGTACCCTCAACAACTACCCTCTAAAGTTTGTCAACGATATTATTAAATCTACTCTGAACCATATACCGACAAAAGAGATAACCCAAAATCTGAAAAACCAGACATCCGAGTGTTATTGCCCTTCTATGGTAAACTATCTTACCAAGTTAGCAGAATCCTGAAGACGGTGAATATTGGAACAATATTTACCACATCCACAACCTTAAAACAGATACTCAAGGCAAATGGGACACTACTACCGACCATCTCAATTCAACCAAAAGGAGTAGTCTAAAAAGTTGATTGGTCCTGCGACAGATCATACATTGGAGAAACGAAAAGACCACTAGACAAACGGATTGCAGAACACAAGTCCATAGCCAAAACCATTGTATCCGCAATAGCAGAACACATTACCAAGAACCAGGACCAGAGAATACGCAAGCTAAAAATGCGATTTTTCGAACAGTCAGGGGCCATAATCCAGGAAGTCAAGTTCGAGTATCCGCGATTATCAAAAAGAACCAAGACCTTAGTGTGTAATGGTGATATATTCACACGATTTTTTTTTAAATCGGATAAAAATTGTGACCTCTACAGGGACCACAAGCTAAAAACGTGATTTTTTGTTCAATCAAGGGCCATAATTCAGGAAGTTACAATCCGATATGGGCGAATATCGAAAGGAACCAATATCTTTGGGTTATAAACGTGTATTTCAAGTTTCATCGAAATCGGATCAAAATTGTGACCTCTAGAGGGTCCACAACCTTGATTTACCAGATGTGTACACTATTTGCGTACGAGGGGCGGCCATTTTGTCCGGCAGTTTTGGCCCGATTTTCACGAAATTCGATTCAACAAACATTACGGTGTATATTCGAACGTTTTTTTTTTAATCGGATAATAATTGTGACCTCTAGAGGGACCACAAGCTAAAAACACGATTTTTCGTACAATCAAAGGCCATAATTCAGGAAGTTACGATCCGATATGCGCGAATATTGAAAAAAAAACCCGAGATCTTTGGGTTATAAACTTGCATTTCAAGTTTCATCAAAATCGGATCGAAATTGTGGCCTCCAGAGGGTCCACAACTCTGATATACCAGATGTTTACACTATATAAATTTGCGTACGAGGGGCGGCCATTTTGTCCGGCAGTTTTGGTCTGATTTTCATGAAATTCAAACTCAGACAAAATTACGGTGTAATGGAGATATATTCGAACGTTTTTTTTTAAATCGGATAATAATTGTGACCTCTAAAGGGACCACGAGCTAAAAACGCGATTTTTCGTACAATCAGGGGCCATAATGTAGGAAGTTACGATTCGATATGTACGAAAATGGAAAGGAACAAAGATATTTGGGTTATAAACATGCATTTCAAGTTTCATCAAAATCAGATGAAAATTGTGAACTCCAGAGGGTCCACAACCCTGATACACAATATTTTGACAATATTTGCGAACGCGGGGGCGGCCATTTTGTCCGTCATTTTCGGTCCGATTTTTACGAAATTCGAGCTCAACCATCCTTTGGGTGTAACGGGGATATATTCATACTTTTTTTTTTAAAATCGGATAAACATTGTGATCTCTATAGGGTTCACAAGCTAAAAACGCGATTTTCCATACAATCAGGGGTCATAATTCAGGAAGTTATGGTTCGATATGCGCGAATATCGAACGGAACCGAGATCTGGGGGTTATAAACATACATTTTAAATTTAAACCAAATCGGATAGCAATTGTGACCTCTACAGTGTTCACAAGCTAAAAACGTGATTTTTCGTACAATAAGGGGCCATAATCCATGAAGTTACAGTCCGATACATGCCAATATCGAAAGGAACCGAGATCTTAGGGTGATAAACCTATATATAGAGTGTTCACAAACAATTGTGGACGTCCGGACGGACGGACAGGGGCGACGACAATACGTCCACATGAAAATGTAGGCGTATAAAAATCATAGAAGCCATCCAAGTCAAACATCACAGCCCAGAACTGAACAGAGATACAGGGTTAAACATTGCAAGGGCCTACGATAAAGATGGATAAATGATAATAATTATTTATTTTACACAGTTAAATTTGACATTTCAATTATTCTTATATCTCAATTACATTTCTTTCAATCCTTCTATATCTCACTTTACAATTATTAAATGTTTATTAATCTTGAATAGAATTTTACTAGTAGGGTACAGTAAATGTGTAATTAACTTTTTTTTTTCTTTGCTTGATACGTCATTTATAGCGCTATAGGAATCTCTTGCAAACTACAATATTGTGGAAATTTAATCCATAATAGGAGTATCAATGTAAAAAAGGTCCAATTGAAATCAGTTTTCTCAATCGATCTAAATTGTTTCAATGGCATTTAGTAACTGAACTGGGTCTGTTTCACGAAATTTTAACTAAGATAAAATCCAAATTTTAGTAATTTGATTGGATAATATTAGATTGATTTTGCTTAGCCAATCAAAATTGAAGTATCTACTAAAATTGGATTTTATCTTTAGTTAAAATTTCGAGAAACAGGGCCCAGGAATATACATGTAACAATTCTATGAAATACAAATACTGCTTATTACTGAGCGACGTTTCGATTAGACTTCTCTGGTCATTATCAAGCAATGATAAAATTAACATGAAAATATAAAAAGCAATATGACATGCACACAACAATACTAGGTTAATGCTGACCAACCAGAGATACCCCTTCTGATTAGTATGTACCTAAAGGGAATCTGACGTAATTAAGGATTATAAAAGTTCAATGAATAGAAGTTAGAAATTAGACGATGGTACGTTTGAATTTTGAAATTTTTTAATCTAATATACTGCCATACAGCATATCTCAACGTTTTCAGCTACGAGTGGTGGGTGGGTTCGAAGACCTTTTGGCAGCCAGCACCTTCCCTGGCACCGCCTCTGGTTGTTCAATGATAGAAGAAAAATGTAAACTTAATACAAAACCCTATCTAATTAAGATACTACCAGGACATCTGGATATAGTACAGTATTCAATGTCTGGTTCTAACTACATCTAGCTACCAACTTCATACTCATAGATCCACCCCAACGTAAGTAAATGCGTCATGAATTTTAATCGATAGTGTTGGCTATTGAGAGGTTTTCAAATATTTCCATTGATATGTTTTAGTATGCATTTTTGTTTTGTGAAACTGTTGATACCATGCGTCAATTTACAAATATTGTGTTTAATAACCAGTTATTACTACCATGCGCGAAATATGTTCTTTTATAGTACAAGATAGTGTTGGTAGTGAGCATTAAATTATATCTGTCGAGGTGACGATTGGCTAAGACCGACCGCGTGGTCATGCTGTCTGGTGATGGTTCAATCACGCCATAACAGGGATAGAAATCTCCTAAAGGGCAATAGCCTTCGATTGCATTATAATAACACGCATCTAAAACTAATCTAGTCGCCTTCCGAACATCTGACTATAGGTAGACCACTGGCAGTGTTTTACATTTTTGTAAATATGTAGGCCCCCATTATACGTTGTCACAACAAGTATCGATAACAGCCATGCTGCATAAGGTGAGACAATGTTTACCTCATCATGTTTTTGTGTATTTGTTTTATTGGCGTTGTCTGTTCAATTGCCCTTTTCGTGTTCATCTAACCTTTTACAAAAAGCCTACCTTTAACTTTTAACTGAATATTCTTCATTTGACATTTGTAGACCATTTAACACTATAATTGATCTGTTAAAACTTTCCATTTTTTTTTAAACAATGGACTATGTGAAAATATCAATAATATTGAAATTTTAACAATAACCAGGATTTTTTTTGATTTTTTTTTTTGACTTCAATATTAAATCACCAGCGTCATAAACCGACCCGTGAGAAGCGTGATAATATTATGAGCTACCAATATAAGTATACTATAAAAGCACTAGTCAACTCTTTATCTTTGATGTCCAAAATTTGTGTCAAAGCATAGTTTGATAGCTACTCGCCGCCCCCGCCCCCCCCCAAAAAAAACAAAACAAAAAAAACAAACAAACAAAACAACAAAAAACAACAACAAAAAAACAAACAAAAAAACAAAACAAAAAACGAAACAAAAACAAGGCGTTATTTTTTTCGCTCCCCCAATAATTCGGTCTTCAAGCGCTGATACATCCGTATCAAAGAGCTTTTAAAAGATCTATTAACAGTCATTGGATTGACGTGTAGGTTTGGAATCCAGGATCGTTGTTTGCAGAGTTGCTGTACTACCATCGGGACCTTGGCAGCATTCTGTGAAATTTTTGTGTTGAAATATGTCGAAATTGTCAAACGGATCGTGAGTCAGAACCCAATTCAATTATTTTGGTCTCGGAACCTCGTAAATACTGCACGAGTCAAAGTGTTTACTTTGTAAAATTCTGGACAGATTATGTTAAAAACTTCAATATAGTGACAGCTTTTGAAATTGTATTATCTTGCCATTTAAATCAAGTTTTTGGTCTGTGAAGAAATTATGCTCAGAATGGAATATTGGCAATCTTTGTAAAACAATGAGAACGACTTTTGGGTTAGCGGGCGTACATGTTTCATTGCATATTTTCATTAGGCAGTTACGAGACCCCCCCCCCCCATCCTGTGGGAAAAATCCGAACCAAATGATTATTGCTTTTTTTTGTGAGGAGGTATGTACACAGTAATTCAGGAAACAATCCGCTGTCATCCACCTTGGGCAATTATTTTTATGGACGATTTAGTTTTGGTATTAGTTTTGGGCTGGTTTCCTATAAACTGAAGTTTGGGGCGATTTGTTGTTTATTCGGACAATGACATCTAATTACTTGATGGTTTGCAATCTAGATCCCTTGCTTCAGTCTCATCTATTCAAACGTTTGACTTTTCTACTTTGTACACTAAAATTCCCCATAGTAAATTAAAAGCCCGGTTGAAAGACATTATTCACAGTGTCTTTTCGTCTAAATCAGGTACTGCGAGATATCAATATTTAGTTGTAAATTACAATTCCACATATTTCGTTAAGAATCAGTGATTCCAAAAACAAATTCACGGCTATCAAGATAATTCAGATGTTGGATTTTTTTTAATTGACATCTTTGTTTAATTTGGAGGGGAAATATATCAGCAAGTGGTTGGCATTCCCATGGGCACCAACTGTGCACCTTTGCTTGCTGATCTGTTTCTCTATTCGTACGAAGCCGATTACATACAGACGCTCGTAAAAACTAATAAACGATCAGTCAGACTTTTTAATTTCACTTATCGATATATCGATGACGTTTTATCACTTAATAATCCTAAATTTAGTGATTATGTAGAATTCATATATCCTGATGAGCTCGAAATTAAAAACACCACTGACAGTGACAATTACGCTTCCTACTTGGATCTGCGTCTCGATTTTGACAATTGCCATAAACTGAGTGTTAAATTGTACGATAAACGTGATGACTTTGACTTTCCGATTGTTAACTTTCCATTTATTAGTAGTAACATTCCAATACCACCAGCTTATGGAGTGTTTGTGTCTCAGATAATTCGTTACGCGAGAGCTTGTTCCTTTTATTCTGATTTTTTAAGTAGATCGAGGCATTTGTCATCTAAGCTTCAACTACAAGGATACTTGCGCACTAAACTTATTAAAACCTTTAAAAAGTTTTATGGCCGTCATATTGATTTGATTGGTAAATATAACGTGTCTCTCTCGGCTATTCTAGATATATTTAATTGACACGTATACTATTACTTTCTCCCTGATAATATCTACTACATCGTTAACACAGTTCATCGCGTGCATTTTGCATACCGATAGTTCATTGGCCAATCACGCTATTTTACCGACATTCGCCTAATAGTTTGGATGCAGCTATGGCGGGTGTGGCGCCAGGCAGGGTAAGCTTACTCTTCCGGACACCTGTTACCACTGTTTGTCGTGTAATTTGTACACGAGGAGCAGTCCATTTGCTGATTACACTATTTTGCTTGAATACACTATTTTGCCTATAACGTTTTTTAGGACTTCGAATTCTGTCTTATGGTTTGGATTGTTCGTACTTGGTTTTATTTTATCTAGAAAGGGACGGCAGTTGCCTCTTTCTGTTTCCATGTTGAATTTAATTTATGCTGTGTGTTGAGTCTAGTAAGGATTGGAGTGTCTCCATTCATCAGCATGCAGGCGGAAGTATGATGGATGATGAACTAGGGGTTTATTGGTCAAAGGCTGTCAGGTAAACTTTGCCTAGAAGAGGTGAAAGTGGGCTTCCGATTGGTAATCATCTGGTTTGTTCATAGATGTCTCTCCATATGAAGTACCTGGCAGTGATACAGGTTTGGACTAGGGTGGGTATTTCGTGAACTTACATGAGTTGGTGAATTATTTGATGTTGGTATCAAAATCAGAATGCCTGTAACCTTTTTTGCCCGAGGCCGCTTTCGACGGATTTCCTCTGACGTATTCATATAGACCTTTCATAAAAAGCATGAATCGTTTGTTTTTGATTTTTCCCCCACAGCTCAAGTGAATCCGAATTTCTCCTACCAGCCTACATTTAACATTTAAATAATATTGCAACCACCATAAACAGAACGGGCGACTTTGCGACTTAATTTCATTACCTGGCAACCTATCCTTTCCTATATGTGACCTGCATTATGTGTCATGTTGCAGATCGAAATGTCGACAATATCAATAGAAAAAAGACATAAATTATATAGACTGTAAGGCACGGTATACTCGATGGGGTGTGTTGAACTTAAATCCTTTAAGCCATCTTCATGGTGGGTCGTATTATATTTACGTCATATTGTAAATTTTTACAAATATTTTTTTGGCTTCACCTCGTCTCTCATAATACATGTTACACGTGTCTAAAATTATGCATTGGGTTTTCAAGGAATTGTCATTTCCATAAACTGTTGTTTTGGAAAATATTTTAAAGCGAGATATCGGTAAAACAACAAGAAAAGAAAACATTCAGCGTGTGGTAGAGCGAAAATGTATGTCGTAAGCTAATACGTTTGCAATATACAAAACACTGGAATTGGTTATTTGGCGTTTGAAGGGGTCAGTTTGTGGTGGTCTAAGACTTATTTTCAATTTATGATGAACAAGAATAGCTACAAAGTAATATTTTATATTCTTGAATTGTGGTAAAACGGCTACCTCCAATGTCGTTCGGTTTGGGGGCTTTGTGTTTGTAGCTTATTTCAAACGATGCATTTAAGTTAAGACATCCATTATCAAAGCTCAATGTCATGCCCGAAAGTCTGTTTACATCAAGAAGGAATAATATGAGCTTTCAAGTTTTTAAAATAAATGCATTAAATTTAATGTATATATATCCTGAAAAAGAAATATAGTTTTTACAATGATTTATATCGGAGAGTGGGTTAGATAAGAAAAAATCTGGAACATAAATATCAGACAGATCTTAATTTTGATGGAGTATTGTGGCTGCCTGTGTGTAATCGTGTTTTATTAGTTCTTGTTTGGACTACATATTATAGTGGACTCTGTAGCAGTGAAAGTAATTCACCTTTCTACATGCAATGTCTTTAGATGAAAACAACTGAATTATGTTCTTAAGACTGTTGTCGAATGGAATATGAGTCTTCTTTAAAAGGAATTAATATTTGGATGTTTAAAGCGCAAATTACTCAATAGTAACCACTTAGTGGAAATGCTCTGCAACATCTGGTTTATTAGTTTTCGAAAGGTAAGAAAAGAGTCAGTATTTTAATTCTTACTAAATAAAATATTTTTTAAAAAAAAAACCCAAATAATATTGTTTAATAAATGTATAGAACTGGAAAAAAGAAGTAAACAAGTACTTATATACAAATTTAAACCGAATCCAAATAATATCTAGATCTATTTTTTTTTTAACTTTGTAAAAAGTTGAGCGTGATAAGGTTAGTTAGCGCATAGGCCTACATTAATTTTTGGGTGTTATCAATATTTTTCGGTGTATGCTATTAGCATATAGACATTTCAACAACCACCGAACAGTTATTAAATTTTCCTAAACAGTTTATTAGTTTGGCCTGAGCAGGATCTGTGAGAATAAATCGAAAACTGTTTAAGAGTCAATGATAAACTATACACAGTTACTGTTCATTTCTGAAAAAGAGATAACGGATATTTTTTCACTTCTGTGGTTAAAAATAATTCGTTTTTCAAACAGTTTTTGTTTTGATTAATATATCTCCCGTCAGATTTTAAGTCTGTAATGGTCTTATTAATTTTTATGAAATCAGATTAAATTAGATAATAATAGCATATTGGGTATAATACTAATTTAGTGGGAACAAAAAACACTTTATAGTCAATTTTCATAATATCCGCTGCCAGAGATTTGTCTCGTTAGTGTTTTTCCAGGACTCTTGGTTGCCCCCTTATCACATCTATTTACTTGATTTTCTTTCTATCATTACACTCTCAAGACAAACTGTTAATGTATTCTTGTATCAATAAATGTTGTCTGCACCTAGATTTTTTTCTTTGGATAACCTCCCTTGATTATTTAACCAATCACAAAGTACAAATACATCAGCTGACAGCTCGCGCGA